GTTAATGTATTAATTGTAATGTTCAAGTTCCCTGAGTGGCTTTTATACCCTTAGCTCTGTTAGCCAACCCATAAGGACATTTTTATATTTTAGGGTTTTTTTAATATATATATATTTTATTTACTTCATTGTAGCTGATTAGAAATTACATACCTTTTTGCATATATTTTTTCCTCTAGGTATCTGTTGCTCCTCACTCTGGGAAACAGGCAGTAGCTAAATTTGGTCTTTCTTAGGCTGCTGTTCTCATAATTTAGGGGGAAAAGCTTACCAGGAATGGGTATATTTAATATTTTTTTGATAAATGTAGAAGCTCTATCAAGGGATGACTTATCAAGTTGATTATATTTTCTTCTCTTTCTTTTCTTGTATTTATAACATTTCAGGGTTGCACTTTGGGGGAAGGGAGTTAGATCATCCTAAGAATATTTCATTTTCATGTTTGCAGCATTCTGTTTAAAATAGGAATTCTAAAGTGGTTAGAATACATTGTTTAATGTGGTTTATAGCTGAAGTACTCAAATTCACAAAAAATTACCGCTAGCAAGGTCATCCTCCAGAGATTTTGTGGGAAAAGTAACAGTAAATAGGTGACAGACCTCAGCCAGAGACATCCAGTTCTATGCAAAAAAGAACATCAAAAAAAGCTCAGAAGTTAACTTTATGTACGTTTCTTGGAGGAAGCGAAGGAAGAACACCAAAATGTCCTGTTTGACAGCATTTCCATGTTCCATGGCTTCATTAGCACATTGACTCACCGGTCCTGCGTTGTGATCTGTCTCATTTGGGATTCAGTAGAAGGTGGCTATGTCTTGGTTTCACTCCCTACTGATTGGTTTGCTGAGATTTCAGCTCATTATTTCCCTGACTTGCTGCTATCTATTAGGTGATGCTGATGAATAGTGAATCAGATTGATATTTCTCTTATCCAAACATATATGTGAGATTGGATTTACTGGAGTGATAGGGAATTTGTCATCCTTAAACCTCAATTTCTGTATCTTTTTCACACCGAATTAGAACAATAACTATATTTGTTTTATGTTTCTCTTCTTCCTTATCTCCAATATTTAGCTTCTCATAATAAGAGAGATAAAAAATGTATTTGAATGCAGATCACACAGGTTTCTGAGTACAGCCTGAAAACCTTAAACACCAGAGCTTTCATTCTAGAGGCTCATTTCCAGTTTCTGCTTTATCTTAATTTCTTTGTTCAAAATCTTTTATAGGTATTGACATATGCCTATTTGTCTACAGCTCTTTCAGGAAGAACATACATTTGAACATTTGGGCTTCTGAAATCCTGGTTCTTTCAGAGAGGAGACGATATGCCATTACATGTGTGCCATTATGTAATATAAAACCAGGTCCCTGCTAACTCACATTCATTCTTCACTGAATTCTTATTGGACATCTCTATATCTCAGACCTCTCTGATCTGATAAAACTCCACTGGAAAAATAAAATCTCATTCTACTTTGCATAGAACAAGCAGCTAACAAGACAGAAGAAATGCAAATACAAGATGTTATCACCAGTCAAGACAAGATAATTGTGAATAGTTTGAATGCACATAGTTTGTACCTTCTTTGTATGTGTGACATAACTTCTCCTTCTCTCCCAGATGACTTAACTGTCCCACAGTCTCTGTGGAGAGGCATCTGCACACATGAAATTCCTATGGAAAAGCTGACACTATAAATTTATCTATGAGTTATCCAGTGCGGTGGCGTTAGCATTCAGGAACACACATAATCACGGAATGATTATATGAAGGTGCTTTATTTAAGAGCTCTAATGTCAGGGATACACATACCCAAATCTGACCCAACTTGGTTTTGAGCTGAACATCTTTTATACTCTATCATTATGTAACTTACATATTAATTATTAAACTTACATTGTTCTATTGTATACATTGATTTTACCCAAGCATGAATTCCTCGTGATCCCTCTCAACCCCTTAACATTGTTCCTCATGTTCTTTAAACAACAATTATATATAATCACATCTAACAATTGTATCATTTATATGATATTTGATTATACACAGGTGCAGTTTCGCATGATCTTAGCAAGCACAAGGCCTAACATTTCCCAGGGCCTACTTTTAACACTTTTCCCAGGGCTTGCCAAGCCTAACTTTCTTTCTAACTCCCCAAATTTTCTATGATTTTAAAATCTTTTACTATCAGTGTCACTCTGTCTTTTCCATACTTGAACAGTATTACTTTCAATACCCAGACTGAAGTATAGGATGGGATGGCAGGTGCTGACCTATCAGAATGCTGTCTTGTGCAAACATACATCAGCAATTTGAGGTGTAACAGTATCTCCACAGGTTTTCTAGAATACTTTGGCAAGGAGGTTTGTACACAAAAGCACAAGCTTGCTTTGTCACAATTTCTTCTGCTCAAGAAGTTTACCACTGCTAAAGTACAAGGCATTCATTGGGGCAATAATTTGTGTGAAAAATCTGATGCTACTGGGAAGAAGAATTAATTGAATGATCATGTCTGGCTTAATGTAATGTCAGAAAATGCACATGAAGACAAAGTAATAAGAGGCATATTAATCCACACAAATGCAGAAGTTTCCCTTTTAACAGAGAAGTCCTTACAGTTCTGCTGTAGGAGGAAGTCACTGATGAGTGCAGATTGTGGACTGTGAGTAGTCTTTGTGCTGGAGGTAATCCTACACACATTACACACATAAATACAGGATGGTATTAGATAGACTTCATCTGATGTAATTTAGACATGGGATTAATTCTGATCCAAGTTACAGAATGCATAATTTTTTCCTAATTTTAAAATAACTTTTAGGAGAAACTAGATACAATTCACCTTAATGAAATAAAGCAGCAGTAAGGAATAAAATCTCTAAACTGAGAAGGAGTCAGGGCACTTGAATCCTTCCTAGCACCTTCTTGAGGTGAAGTATCGATGATTTTTCCAAATTCTAAGTCTTACAAAAGGCTTATGATGTGTTACTACTTTTATTCTCAAACAGAGATTTGTTCTGGTTTTTATTTTCTCTTGCTCACATTCTTGTCCCTAGAAGGGAGATGAGGTAAGCACTGATTTATGTAATACACAGCATAGATGATTTTGTTGAACGAAATAAAAATAAATCACAGCTATTTTCTGAATTTATCCCTTTTTCTGTCAGAATAAATTACAGATTGTTGGCAGTTTTTCCACAAGGTTTTCTGTGACATCAGACCTAATTACCACCTATTCTGCTACTTAAAAATATGGGACCCTGGCAACACAGCTTCCTTTCTCCAATCACAGAGCAGGAAAGAAACTGCAGGCTATTGCATTTGGATTTGTCAGAATAAATAATTAAAAGGCTCATCAGCTTCTCACTAATGAACAAGGAAATGTGATTAAGAAATTTTAAAGGAGAATAACTGAAAACAATATAGAAATGATAGCAGGATGATTGCTGTGAATGAGTGACTGAAATTTCTGAATAAGAGATTTCTTCAACCAGGCACAAGGACAGTAGTTTAATCTTCTATTAAAAGATTCCTGTCAGTTTGGAAAAGCTCTGAATCAGGAGATTAGACACATCTCAGAAGCTGACAAGTCAGTAACTTCTCTTAAGGCAGTTATTTTCTGGCAAATGCTCAGAAAAAACTTTTTTTGTGCATGGTTTTAGTTCATTTTTTTTCTATTTCAAGGCTCAACTTCTACCCAACAACTAGGACGTTTCGGACTAGTCAATCTTTTATTCTCAGAGACTCTGAAAATACAAATCATCTTTCAGACCAAAATGTTCTAGAGATGCTTGCCAAGTTTACTGTGGCTAACATCTAGAAATTGCACTGATTAGCTTCTGGCATGCTTCCTTGCAAGTGCTTTGCATGTTAGAATCTCATTAATTATCTTCTTCTTCTTCTTTATTATTCTTCAGCACAAAAAAAAATGTACTTTCACCTTTTATCTAACCTGTTACTATGCTTTTAACATATGCTATCCCAGCTTATCTTAAGGAGATAGCACATAATAGAGAAACTCAAAAAAAGTGAAATAATGGATGCTACTGCAGTTCTTCTGCATGTCAGGAGAAATATATCTTTTTTTTTTCCTTTATATACATACATAAATGACACAGTCTTTTTACAAATAAAAGCACAGAAGTCAACAAGATTACAAAATTTCAAGTGTGGAACTTTCCAGATACTCAGATATAAAAGTAATATGCACAGAAGTGAGTAAGTAAGTGAGATTCATAGTCACAAAGATTAAGAACAAAAGGTAAAATAAAATATGAAACATGCTCATGAGCCTCAAATAAGATACTCAACTTTACAGAAAATAGTCTGGGTCTAAAACCCAGAAAGAAAAAAAACTCTTCCACTTAAAAAAATAAAAATCTCTATATGTATTTCCAGGCCAGGTTCTGTGAAACCTTGTCTGCATAGTTTCTCTTGAGTTCCTGTATTGCATGTATGTAGTCAAAGAAGCATTCACAATGTTCTTTTTTCTTCTACAGGAAGAAGTCTTATAAGAGTAGTTCTTCATTATTCAAGTAAATTCCTTGTAAAACAACACTTTTATTTTGTGGTTACATTTAGAATTTTATTATTTTTATTTTATCTCAGACATAACAGTTTATTTTCTGTGCTATGTTCCCATTATCTCCAAAGTTAGATCTGGAGAAAAACTTGTTTTTCAATTTATTTGCACCAGAACATATTAGTTTTATGTATGGACTGAAACTATAAATCTTGTAATTCCTGTAAACCATTTCAGTGAAACTTTATTTTTCTACAGTAGATTAACTATAGATAAATTCTTGATGCAACAGTACTTCTGAAACTTCTACATGAGGAAAGAAACACTTGAAAATTGTATATGCACTTAAAGAAACTCAGAACTACCAGTTTTGTGTTAATTGCCTCACACTACACCATTCTGAAAAATCATCATTTTTTTTACATTGCCATAAAAATAATGCACCTGACATGTATGTGCACTTTTCTTTTGTAGGTGGAATGGAGCAAATAAAACAGCATACCTTTGCATTAGCTCACTACACCTATACTGTGCTTTCTAACTTAAAATATGCCAATGGGGCTCCTGTAGTACGTATTTACAGTGACACAGATTTCAGCAATCCTGATGTCCAAGGTCCAATCATTAATTTTAATGTGCTCGATGAAAATGGAGAAGTGATCGGCTTTTCACAGGTATGTTTTTCTCTTGTCTTGAGTTTATTATTGCATTTTAAACATGTTCATGGTGAATCCCTTATCCTAAAAGAAATTTTTTATTCATTGTAGTTCTTTTTGAGGTTTTGGGTTTGTTTTTTCATACCTCTGCGCTGTATATACACACCATTTTCAAACCAGTAGAAGGAGAATCCAATAAATAGTGCTAGCACAACACAAAATGCATAATAGCCAGAGGCAATATCTTACAGATTTATTACTCCACAAATAGGATGCTTAGAAGTGGGGTGTTTTAACAGGATACATTGACTAGGCAGTTTGATTTTTTGCTGGCTTCCTTCTCTAGAGTACTTAAAACTGAGAATTGAAGAGCAAATCTGGAAAAGCTGATGAAGAAACTGCCTTGGAGCTTTGACATACATGTGAAATTTGATCTCAGAATATTGCAGTCACCAATGAAAGAGGAGTTCTCTTTTCCCTTCAGTTGCAACAATTACATTCTCATAATATTCCTGAGGAACCATGGAACAGGGTTGAATGATCAGTATAAAGAATGAGATTCAAGCTCTCAAAATCTTTAGATGCTGTCCTTATCAGCAGCTTTTTGTAGCCTTTATCCATCAAGTATACCAAGTATCTTTAAGATGAATCTTCATTAGGCTTTTCTCCCTTCAGCAGAGAGTGACACAGTTGTGTGTGTGGCTGTGCATCGTGTAGGCTGTGGGTCACATAGGGGACAGTACCTCACTTGCTCATCAGCAGAAGGCAGAAAAACAACAGTGTTCTTATTTTACTTGATTCTTCTTTTTTTCCTTGGCTTCCTGAGAGAATAGGATAATGAGAGGACCATGGAGAAGTGTCTACAAAAATACAGGAAGAGATCCATTTCTCACTAGGGACAACAGAAGTAAAGCACTTGTTTTTTAGCCTGCAAGTGTGGAGTCTTACATTTTTTTAAGGCCTGATGAACATGGGATGGCCAAATGTAGAGTACTCAGTAAGCTCTTCTTCACACTCATCTTTTGTAGACAATTCTACCAAATGGCAGCAAATGTTCACCACAGTTCATTTCAAAGCAGTCCACATTTTTGGAATTAATTAGTAATTTATGTAGCCTTCAATATGTGTGACAATGTTCAGAAAAGATTGGAGATATTAACACAACTGAGTTTGTAAAACTCCCCAAACACTTCAATATTGCTTCTGTTCTTTGATTAAAATCAAAATCTTTATTCTGATATCTGATTTTCACAACTTCTTAGTAAAATTGGCTGATCAGTGTTTCACTTTTTAGATCTCAACTGTACCCTCAAATTAAAAATTCTTTCATAGTCTTATGAATCCATTGTGCCTGTTTGCTTTAGTGGCTGCTCATAAAAAGCTTCTTTATTGGTCTGTATTATCTGGATTGTGCTGTTCACCAGATTCTGAAAATTTCTAGTGTATGTGGAATGAAGAACTATAAAATTTTCACATGCATCCCAGTCTCATCTGCAGTGCCTGATTGACTACTTTGTTTAATTAAGATAATGTGCAATTTAATGACTTTTAGAAATTAACAAGCACTAATCTTTCCAAAGCTACAATGTGTCATATATATATAATTGGCTTTTTTTTGGAATTAAATTCTTCCATGGACACCTTATAGAAGTTCTGGGGGAGAAAAACCTTTGCTGCTTCTTTGCTGGAAATGGAAAAATAGAAACTTCCACAGATACTGATGGGTTCAATCTGCAGCCTTGGAAAGAGCTTGGGTTAATGTAATGATGAAGGTACACAGACATTGAGTTGAGAAATTATAAACTTATGTTCCTATATTTATAAGTAAGAGTATGCCTAGAGCAGGTAAGAAATTATATTAGGTAAAATAGTTTGAGGTTTAAGCTGTAATAGTGTGACTTACAGAGTAAGCTAGTGATCTAGAAACTACAACCGAGGTGTGTGTGTATGAGTACGTGACCTGTCAGCTTATTGGCTAAGGCACAGTCACAGCGCAGCAAGGCTACTTGAGAAATAAATCATCTCAAAGCCTGGTGGTTCCATCCCTCGTTCTTCCTCTCAACGCTTCTTATTTATGATTATAAAGAAAATACATACAGCAGAAAGTAAGCTTCATCAAACTGACAATACAATCTCTTCATACCTGCAAGAATGTCTAAATATAAAAGCAATATATTGCTTTATTTGAATCAAACAACTTACTAACTTAACTCCAATACTTTTATTAATTGTTTGGAAGTGAAATAGTGTCCTCTGCTTTGGTCGTGTCTATGATCTACACATTCATGTGCATTCACTGGGCAGTCTCCAAATGCAATCCAGTAGAGTCAGCAGAACAGCATTTCAGAAGGCTCCCAGAAAACATTTTGGGAATTTTTTTATGAAGTGAAAATTGGATGGCATTTCTGTCTGGCATACCTACTACTAGTGGACACCAATTAATGACTCAAGTTATCTTTGTATATTAAAAGAGAAATGATAGAACATCCTATTTCTTTATGGAGGATATCCCATCTATAATTAATTACTTATAACCAGGCATTAAACCAGTTCTATTTGCCTTTCTGACTGGCAGTTGTTATTTGCCCATTGTGTACTGTAGGGCACAGTGTGACTGGACATTAACAGTTGGTAGCTCGAGAAAGAAAATATGACCAACTGATTCCAGAGAAAATATTATGAGGAGGTTTGGAGCAGTTTATTTGGAACACTTGAGATTGGCAAGAAAGAATTCATAAGTAGACACTGTCTTCAGAGGATACCAAGCTTACATTTAAGCCTCAAGATTTGCATAATTGGCATGATATTCAAAACTCTGAACTAAGCCCAAGATATGACATGTAATACCACAGCTGAAAAATGAAAACAGAGAAAAAAATTATGCCTTTCATCTGTGTACCAATGGGGAAGAAAGTTACTCTTACCTGCTCATATGGTTGAAATCCATTTCTCAGTGTTATCAGCTTAATTACCAGAGCTGACAAGATTGTGCCAGTAAACACAAACGTTCTTGAATTACATGCATAGGGTCAATTGCACCAAGAGGAAATAGTCACAATCTCTGGTTCATCTTTGAGTAAAACCTTTCATTTCACTGAAGAGCAAATGAAGGCATTTCATTAAAGTGAGAAAAAAATAACCACATCATGATTGCACTGTCAGTGATGGCAGCAATTTTTACAGCTTCCTGTCCCAATACAGATGATATAGAGTATTTGGATGTTAAGAAGTGATAGTGTGGGAGTGAAATAATTATGCAAGTTAGTTGAATTGCTATTGCTTTTTTGTTTAAATGTTTCTTTGTGATGGTTGAATGTCTTAGAATATTATACTTGGAATAAACTTGTGTTTTATACTATATGTATCATTGGTTTAATTGACAGTTTAATTACTAGTTTAGGATTTTTTCCTCTAAATGGTAATTAAAACAATTAAATAAGAGGGACTTGTGGACTAAACAACAATAGTCAATGGAAAGCTTTGGTTTTAATTTAGATTTTTCACAAAACATTTCTTTACCTAGAAATAAAACTACTACAGTTTTGAAATTTCCATAAATCTCTCATCTTGGAGCACTAAAACTGCATTAAATTTTCTCCTTTGAGCTGCACCAAATACTTTCCATGAAAATTATTTCCTTCAGTAAAGCTGTCTTGTGGACTACTATTGGTAGTAATTTGTTCTGGAAATCACTTGGGAGGACACCTGTATTCTTTTCACACAAGATGCCTGTCCTCTAAAGTAGCACCTCTGTCATTTTGTTAAGTGTTTATTTGCACTGCAGCATCAAAAAGCCCGTGTTACGAACAGGGGTTGAATTATGATGAGTGCTTGACAGGCCTGGGACATAAAGATGGCCTTTTTGCCAAATGGCTTCTTCATATATACTTGTCTAGTCAAGAATGGATAATTCCCCAGCATTATAGTTTTTGATGCTAATGAAGTGTGGACAGATGACAGACTGGTAATTTGGAAAGGTGCTAAAGTGCAGGGGTAGAGATGAAGGACCTCTGCAGGATAGAAACAGAAGAGTTGATGTTAAAGCAGCAAACTGTCAATCTTCTGCTTCCTTGTGAGGCTACCAGAAAAGGAGAAGCAAATCAGCCTTAGACTTTAAAGAGGGCTTGTGATGTGACAAAAAAGACGATGCTACAGATATATACCTGGTGCTGAGCTAATGCAGCAAACCCTTCACACAGGGAATCATCAGCTTATTTATTAGTAATTATTATTTGCAGCCTTCAGCATATGTGAATGTCATGTGTTCTGTCATTCCCAAGTCTCTTCCAGCCTCTCGAACACTGACAGCAATGACTCAGCTTCAATTTGCATCCTTGCCATCTTTTTTTTTTTTTTTTAGCAAAACTCACTTAGGACTCTATGAAGTCCAACCTGATTTGAATGTCAAACAGATGGAAGAGTCATAAGAGAGTAATGTAGATTTGAGACAACAATCATACACACAAAAAAGTGCATTTCTTATAACTGGGTCAAAGTGCAAATTTTGTTGTATATTCTCTTCACATTTGCAGATGTGAAAAAACATCACCAGGTCCGCTCTGGGAGATCATTTTTGCTAATATAATTTATAAAATTTTCTCTTTGTTTTGACAGAGAGATGAGGCCTATGAAATTCTCTTTGTATATTCAGTAGATTAATTGCAGAGTGATTTTATAATCCCTTTACATTTTATTCTATAAAGTCAGTTTGGAATCCGGAAGAAGGGAAAGAGGTAGGAGACACAGATGGCCAGATGGAATTTTACCTGGAACATTTGTTGAATTTTATGCACTAGAGAGATCTTACCTAACCACAACTTTCAGTTCAGTGTTATGCCAGTAGTGAAAAATGCTCCTTCCCTTATCAAACTTCTTCTTTTTCCACTCTGATCTTCTGAGACAATATTTTTATTTTTCCTCTTGTGTATAATAGAGCCAGTAACAGGCTTTAAAAGGAGCAAACCATCATGGCTGTCTTTTGAAAAGGCCATCATTTCACATTTTAGCTGTGGATTACC